CCCTTAGATTAGTTTGGTTGGAAAGTTAAATGGAGACTTTTTTTTTTTTCTAAAACCCATTTTATACAAGGCAGACAAATCATGCCATCATTTTCTATTGTCTGTGGCTTCATCTGTGATTAGCAAATGGAGCCCTGCAGCCCACATAGCGTTCCATTGGCATTTGTTACTCTTCCCCAGTTTGCACATCACTGAACCATCTCATTTTAAAACTCAGGAGTGGCAGAGGAAACCTTTAGCAGAAGTTTGGAATTTGGGATAAGGGAAGTCAAGAGCAAGATCACTTATTTTGGTTTGTTGGTCTCTGAGACTCTCAGGATATGCATTGATGTGACCCTGCCCACCATCACCAGTGACTGAAATATCACATAGCTATTCACGAAACTTATTCCCATCTGTTGTGCATGGCTTATATATTTACCTCCTCTTTTGCCAGTAAATACATCTAAATCTTTTGACCTCACAGCCAGCTTTCTGTTGTTGGCTCGCTGGCTTGCTTCTACTGTGATTGTCAAATGAATGCCTAAAGCATTTTTCCTGATCTCTCTCTTATCCCTCTGCCCTCCTTTACACTCCCTCCCAGTGCTTGTTTGATAAATGCTTTCCTTGATGAATATGGGACATAGTCCTCTTATTTTCAAAGAGCAATGAAGGTAATTCTGAAAAATATTGATTTTCATTGAAAATCACTAACTTAGGTCATGGTAGACTAATAAATCATCACGCCTTTGAAAATCTTTTATTGATCCTGAAAAGTTATTTTACAAACCAGACAGTTTTACTCCACATATTGTATGTAGCATTATTTTATAGACTGCCTATGTTTCTTTAAGGAAATTCTTAAATTAGTTACTAATAGTTTGTTGGTGGTGAGTTTGTGGAAATATATATATATATATATATATATATATATATATATATATATATATCAGCAATTTTCAACCAGTGTGCCATAAAACATGTGATATTTTCCTGTTTAGTCAGGGACACTGACCACTTTTCCCTTAGATTGCCAAATAAAAAATGACAACAGCCAAAACAATAGATGTCTGGTGTGAATGAATCAAAATTATACCTACTTTCTATTTCATACGTTTTGCTGTGCTGTGGAATTTTAGTAGTTTATATGTGCCACAAGAAGAAAAAGATTGAAAATTGTTTATATATAAGTTTACGTATACATGTGTATGTAACCGTATACACAGCTCTTTAGACTATTAAAGGCTGATTGCTTTTATAATAAATCTACTTGTCTTTTAAACTCATTGTTTATAGTGTAAAGTTTTTGTCATTTTTTTTGCCCCAAGACAATGAAAATTAAATGATTATTTTAATGTATGCATAGTAAGCAGTCAGTAAATGTTTATAGAGGGAATAAAGAAATAATGGCTTGTTTTATTCAGGAATTGTACTAAAGGGCCTATGTAGTAATTTATAAACAATAACTATACCTTTGAAAGAATAAAGATCATCTCTAGTGTTTTAAAATGTAAACTAATTATATACTAAAAACCTTTAAAACACTGTTCATTTCTTATTTACCTGTTAAGCCTCTATTCTACACACACTTTGTTCTGGTCTCTCTTTCCCTTCCCTCCCTCCAGAGTTGAAAATCTCACTATTAATTGGAGCTAAGATGATTGTACTGCTGCTGCTAAGACTTCAGCAGGTCTCTCACAAGCTAATGTCACAGCATGGAGTCTATTTGTTCTGAGTAGTTGTTCTGCAGTACAGTGAGAATGCCTTGATTAATAAGCTACATGAGAATCAAATAAATTTGGGAAAAATTATACATACTCTCAAATATTAATTTACATTTGTATGGAATTGCACATAATTTTCAATATACTTTGTAGCACTTTTGGTATGAAAGATTTGGTTTCTAAAGAAAAAGACATAATTTTTTAAAAAGCCCAGTTGATACATTATTAAATATAATTTATTTATTAATCTGATACTCCACATGTATGTGATGTAGGGCAATAGGCGGTTATATTACAAAGAAAGGAGGAGTGTGTGTGTGTGTGTGTGTGTTACCCTGTTTAGAGTCTATGTATTGTTCTTAGAAGTGTACAATTTAATCATATTATATAGAAGTGGTCCATGATGGAGCTCACCTGGCTACTTCTGCTAGCATTGTCTTTTCTTGATAGCTGACTGTCATGGTTACATGTGAGACTAAGCACTGAGCTGAGCAGATGTCTGACATAGCTGGCTGGTAGTGGACACAGGGCAAAGGACTAAATATAGCAGTCTTCATCGAACATTTAACAGGTGTTAGGCATAGTGTATAAGGTTCTGAGACTGTGGAGTCAATGACCATGAACACTTGCTTTGATTTCAACTCCTCCCCTGAACACGTCTCACCACATTCTCACTGCATCAGGAGGTCTGCCTCTTCAGTGGCAGAGGGTGAATCATCAGTAGTGATAGCAGCTAGATGTTAGACCAGAGGTACTCATTTGCCTTATAAAATTCTTATGTTTGATATCTTTTTGCTTCAAGGACAAAGCTTTTCTTCTTTTCTGGGACTTCTTGCTATTTTCTGTGATCCTTCTTGTATGCCATAATTGTCTGCTAGGTTTCTTGGTTTTTTGCTTTAATCAACTTTTCTAGTTTGCTTTACTCTGTGTTAGAGGCAGTCTGGGATATTATTAAATTACTAGAGGTCTGGTGCACGAATTTGTGCACAAATGGGGTCCCTTATCCAGGCCATTGATTGGGGCCTTCTTGCCCAGCCCAACCAGGGCTGATAGGGGCCAGCTGGCAAGGGGGAGAGACTGTGGGAGGTTGGCTGAGGGAGCACACTTACCACCAGGGGCAGCTCCTTCATTGATCATCTGCCCTTTAGTGGTCAGTGTACATCATATCAACCAATCAATTCGTTTGGTTTACTGGTCTTAATGGTTGCTTAGGCTTTATAGATATGTGTGTGTGTTGTGTGTGTGTATGTGTGTATTACTGTGTTTTGTAGGTTTGGATATTTTGTCCTATTTTTTATTTATTTAGCAAGTATAAATATATGTACCATCTATTATTGGCCTGACTCTGTATGTGAAGCTATGGAGTTACTGAGAGAAACAATACTTACTCTCTTCCCTTGTCCTTTCAAAGAATCATGCTACCAGCTGCCTCTGGGCCTTTGCACAATCTTTTCCCTCTGCTCAGTCTTTCAAATCTAGATCAAATGGCACTCATATTTTCAGCCACAACTCCTTCCTCTTGGGGCTTGTTTTCTTAGCACTATAGTGATGAGTTTGCACTTGGTATATACTAGGTGCCCAAAATATATTTGTTAAATGAGTGAAAGCTTGAGAAGATTTCTTTTGTACTATTGATATATAAAGGACTCCCTGAATAGGCAGCACTACAAAGAGTCCTCTAACTAGAAAAGAGAGAGCTGTGGGAGGGAGGTCTTTTGAGGCCAAGGCAAAGTAGTCATAAAGATCAGAGGTCCCAAACAATTGTTGTGTGGCTTATCTGGGAAAAGTTATTGAGCAGGTCTGTGTAAGTCAAGTGGGGAGTGTTGGGATATAGTAGTGGAAGCAGTATAATAGATAACTGCTTTAAGAATATTGGCTATCATAGAAACCCACACCTTAAACCTATCTGATTATGTTGCTCAATGTCACCCCAGTAAATTTAATAATATAAAAAAAAATGGCTATGACACAGAGGAAGGAGTGGAATTTTGAGAAGGGAAGTTTTTGCTTTGGTTTTATATTATTTTTAAATGTGCATTTAGGATTATAGACACAGAGAAATTAGGTGGGGATGAGGAGTTTCATATCCAATCTTTTACAAATGATATAGTGCACTTTTTATGTTAATCTTCACCCAAAGATGTGTTTTTCATTGATTTTTAGAGAGGTAGGATTGAGAGGATAGAGAGAGACAGAGTCAGAGAGATAAAGGCATCAATTGATTTTCTCCAACATGCACTCTAACCTGGCCAGGGAATTGAACCTGCATTTCAGGTACATGCCCTTGACTGGGAATTGAATCTGTGACTCTTTGGTGTAGGGGCTGATGCTTTAACCACTGTGACATCAGTTAGGGCAGTGCCAAATATTTTTAATTTTAGTGTTTCATGTGACAACATTCCTCTGGGATTAAAAGACATTCACATTTTTGGAATCAGGTCATCATTGAGCCCATTTCACACATGGGCTCATAATTGCCATGACTTATTCCAAGTCTCATAATGTATAATGTGTCAAGGCTCAAATGCAGGTCTTTTGGAATCTCAGTATATCTTGAGCTGCGTGCAGACACATAATTTAATAGGTTGTGTGGCCTCAAATTCTTGCCTGTAGTTTCTACGGATGCTACTTTTTATTCCAGAACATCCATTACCCTTCTATTACCCTTTTCTCCACCCCCAGCCACACACAGGAATAAATGAAAAGTTGCTTTTGATCTTGGTGATAATATTGTTACTTTCCGCAATGAAGATGGGAATTACGGATGCTCAGAGGAACTTGTGGTGAAAATATAATGCATTAAGGAAACATCTTAATCGTATGAATTGACAGTTTCCTTCTTGCTGGCTCACATCCACCTGGCCCCGGGATGTTAAGTCTTATGCTGCTGTTTTTGAATAGTGCATGCACTTAGTACTTTTTTCTCCCCTCAAAACATAATTGATGTACCTTCTTGGGAAGTGAGTGTATTAAACCTCCTTGGGGAATATTGTGGGCTGGACCCAGCACAGAATCAAACAGAAAGCCACTGTCCCAGGAGCAGTGAAATCACATTTAATGGATAGATACTTTGTGCTTAGTTGACTTTTTTGCCCAATAAGAATAGAAAGGAGAATATTTGTGTTGGCATTAGGAACTAAGGAACATTGAGAGCCAAGTTTCTTAGTTTTTAGTATCCTCATATTCCACTTTCCTGTCCTTCCCTCCCTCCCTTTTAGTAAACTCATTTAGCCTACATTTTGAGCGTGACCCTAGATACCCATATAACCACCACTTCCCTTCCCTTCTCTTCTACAGAAAGATGTAGCACTTAAGCCTCAGGAACGTGTGGAGAAACGCCAGACCCCTCTGACCAAGAAGAAACGAGAAGCACTTACCAACGGCCTGTCCTTTCATTCCAAGAAGAGCCGCCTCAGCCACCCGCATCACTACAGCTCAGATCGAGAGAATGACCGCAACCTCTGCCAGCACCTTGGGAAGAGAAAGAAGATGCCAAAGGGACTCAGGCAGGTGAGGAAGCTTGGCTTTGTTCTTTTCTGTGCTGAGAAATCCCCTCCTTGGGGACCTGTTCCTCAGTGGTTCTTCCGAACAGGTGGAGAAGATATCCCTGTGGGATGCTGGAAGGCTGCCTGCAGAGCTTTGTGTTTGCTTCTGAAACAGTATGCCAAACCGAGCTCAGTGGTTTTTGTTGTGATTTGAAACTTCAGCATGGTACCCTTTTAGTCAGATGTGCTCTGTGTAAGCAAAGCTCGATGCCGCTGCGATTGGCATTCTGGGCAGGCAGACTAACTGAAGTTTTGTCTTGATGGTAGTCAGGGTAGACCAGCTGGTAGGGGAGATGTCCTTATAATCAGGACAAACGGAACAGGCCGATTTGATCACATACACTGTGTATCTAAAGGCTCCGAGGTGCAAAAAAGCAGTGCCTTGCAGGGTTTAGGTCTTCCTGGGAAGCTCAGGTATTGTGGCTTGTGGGAGAGCAGCAGTGAAGAAATGAATTTGCCTTTTGGATCCTTTAGTTGCTCTCTGCAGCCCGTAATTCAAGACTCTCTTTCTGATCTTCTGACTTTAGGAAGGTCTGGTTGTGAGGCTTACTGGTCTGTTAATAATTAGGTTTCAATGATCAACAAGAAAATATAGCTCTTGGCATTTGGAGAGCCTTTCTGCCTGTGGAAATCCCCACATGAGATAGATTAATAATGAGAAACAAAGCTGCTTATAGCAGTTTTTGTGCACAAATCCGGAGGCTTTAGTGCCTGCTGAGTTACCTCTGTTCTGGGTGTGTTTTGTTTGTCTTTGGCGGGACCTACTGGGTGGGGTTGACTACCACTTGAAGGGAACAGAGCAGGTGCTCTAATTAGAAGCTAAACAGGTAATTTCTAGTTTGCACATGTTTCTCTGCAGAGGGGGAAGATCTGCGATCATATAAAGCAGTGGTTCCAAAACCTCACAGGTCATTAGAATCATAAGTCTTTTTGAAATACAAATCCCTGGCCCCGCCCTAGGACTTGATGAATTAATCTCTAGGGGAAGAGGCACATAGATTTGTAGTCTTAGAAAGTTCCTGTTTGGTAGTGGTAAGGCCAGTTTGGAAATAATTCTTATAAAGCATTAAAAATATGTTTTTTGGTGATGATTTTTAGTTAAAAGTTTAGAAGGATCAAAAGTTTTAATAAGTTCTAGTGGACATTTTGGGATTAGATTTTAACCTGATGGGTAATAAAGGATATACTCCCGAGAAGACATCTAAAGTGATAGGTTTCAACATAGATTCGGAAGAATCTCAGGGAATGTCCCCAGACTTGATGTACAGGGCAGCTTTTCTAAAGGAACATGTGTCCTGGTATGAAATGCCAATTCGCAATTATCTTAGTAACTAGAGGCCCGGTGTACAGATTTGTACACTAGTGGGGACCCTCAGCCTGGCCCGTGAGGGTCAGGCCAGAACCAGCTCTCTGACATCCCCCCAGAGATCCTGGATTGTGAGAGGGCCCAGGCCAGGCTGAGAGATCCCACCAGTGCATGATGGAGGTGTGGAGGGGCTGCGGGAGGGCTTTAGGGTATGGCAGGCCCACCTCACCCAGTCCCAATTGGCCGGATCCCAGCGGCAAGCTAACCTAACAGTCAGAGTGTCTGCCCCCTGGTGGTCAGTGTGTGTCATAGCAACCGGTCAAATGGTCGAATGAACAGTCTGACACTTAGCATATTAGGCTCTTATTATGTAGGATTATTAACCTTTATCTAATGCATGCCATGTTATAATCATTCAATAAGAGTTTGTGTGGTATAATCTGTAATTCTCACAATAATCATAGCGAGTATGTAATATGATTCCTGTACAGATGGGAAAGCCAGGGCTCAAAGAGATAAAGTGGCTTGTCTCAGGCCACTTAGCAGTGAGGGATTGCACTGAGTCAGGGTTTAGACCCAGATTTCTCCGGCTTGCTTATTATCTCTGTATGTTCTGCCTTTCTTGACTGAGAAGGGGATTATATGTGAAGGGAAAGAGAACTCCAGGTCATAGGGGGTTCTACAATGTAGGTGTTCTACAGATTACTTGAGTAGTTGGTCAGAGGCAGTGATTTTGGTTATAGAAATGACATATGAAGAAAGGCACAAGAAGAAACTGAATAAAATACCAAGTTCAGAGGACAGAGAAAGCTGGAAAATTTGAAAGCAAGCACATTTGGATGATGGTTTTTATTTTTATTAATTTACTTTTTTCCAGACAGAGTGGGGTGGGAGTAAAAGGGCTTTTTCTATAAACGGTGATGTTCCTGTGGTATTTGTGACTCCCATTTCATGCCTTGTGTGTGAGATAGATGAGAAAAGTAATTTTTCCCAGTGGACAGGTTGCAGTGTAACCTCCACCTCTCCCCGGGGTCCTCCCTCCCAACAGGGTAAGCAGAAGCTTCTTACCCTTTCATGCAAAAACAAACAAACAAACAAAAAAAACCCCAACAATTTAATTCTGAGCCTGCACTACGCCATGGTTCTTAATTCTTAACACGCTTATTCCCAGACCCTGACTTTTCTATTCTCTGTCCTCAAAACTTTCCTTTCTACATTGTCCTCTGGTAAAATGATTTATGATCATAAAGAAAGTTAGGACTGTATGTCTCAAATTTGAGAATTTGGTCTTAATGATCAGCTTTTTTTTGTGCTAGAGAAATCAAACTTATCCTTGTTTTAAAGTATTTGGAAAATAATTATATTGACTCCCTGTTATGAATCAGGGAGAAGGAAAAATGGATCAGATTTTGGCCTTTGTAAGGGATTTAAAAACAACTGGTCTTTTTTATCTTCAGTGTCGATGCCAAAATATACTATTCAAATCAAAGTGTTATTTTTCTAATGGAAAGGGAAGCAGTTGATAATTGAGATAAAGCTCTAATACTTTTCATTTGTAATATTCCTAGAATCATATGTGCTGCTATGAAACCCTGAACAATTCATGGTCTGTTCCTGCCCATCTGTAAAATGAGAGGTTTCTCAAGCCCCTTCCTCTGAGTTCCATGTTTCTTTAAAATTATGACTAACTGCCTAGGGTTTGGTTCAGTGATTGACTGTCAACTTAAGAACCAAGAAGTCATGGTTTGATTCTCAGTCAGGGCACATGCCCGGGTTGTGGGCTTGATCCTCAGTAGGGGAGGTGTAGGAGGTAGCCGATCAATGATTCTCTCTCATCATTGATATTTATATATTTTTCTCCTTCTCCCTTCCTCTCTGAAATCAATAAAATATATATATTTTTAAAAAATATGACTAACGCAGAGATATATAATGCTGTTGAGGTCCGGAAACGAAGACCATACTATGTTGGAAGGTAATTTAGATTCGGAGTCTAACTGAGTGGCTCTGTGAAGACACTTAAAGGAGAGGAGTGATATGCATTCTTAGTAGGAGAAAGAAGCATGGCTTAGTTGTGGTCGCCCAAACAAATGCCATCTGTTGTGTTATCATGGGTAAAGGGTGACGGATGAGTGTTTAATGGCCATAAACTTTAATGGCCAAGTTCAAAAACTTGTGCTAAGAATTTTTTCCCTTTGCTTTTCTATCTTGATAGATGCTTGCATACATTACAATTACTTTCCCCCCTATCTTTGCCCCTTACCAGATAAAGTAGCTAATCCTGACCATTTTGGCTAGGAGAGAACCTTGAGATGAGAACTGGCCTTAAGGAGAATTTCTAAATTAATGGATTGTTGCTTAGTGCCTCTTACTTGTATGAGTTCTAATGACAAGAGTTACAGATGGAAGAGGGCAGTAGGAGCTGAGAATCCAGTCTTTATTTTTGACTAGGTGAGAGTGGACTACTTTTGCGTTTTATTAGGAAATGGTACTTTCTGAGCACAGTTTTCCTATAATTATGGGAAGATGTTACTCCTTAGTGGACAGGAAATAATAGGATTTCCCCTCTGTCCCTGAGAATCCATTGAAGGCATCTAATCTTTTTACTGTGAGAGGGCATGACTTAGAAGATGCTGAGCTGGCAACTGTCTTATAAAATGGTTGCATTTTTTTTTTTTAATATGGCAAATGTGACTACTCTCTTTAATTTCTAAAGGGGTTTAAACAAATAAAGAAAAGAACAAGTAGCCTGGCCAGTTTAGTTCAGTGGTTGAGCATTAACCCTTGAACCAGGAGATCAGGGCACATGCCTGAACTGTGGGCTTGCTCCTCAGGAGGGGTCATGCAGCAGACAAGCCAATTGATTCTCTTTCATCACTGATGTTTCTATCTCTTTCTCCCTCTGCCTGCCTCTCTCTGAAATAAATAAAAACATATACAAATATATTTTTTAAAATAAAGGAACAAGTTAACTGTTATACAAAAAAGGTCTTTCTGGACCCCCCCCCGCCCCTCCCCCCCCCAGACCTATATTTGTCCTATATAGAACTGTTTGCTTATTATGTGAGCACTCAGCCATTATATAAAAAAGTTTTAGCTCTTACTAATAGACATGTTAGTTTCTTGTTCTTATCGATACTTAGACTTAGGAGAGGGAAAAGCAAAACAAAGGTTGTACAGGTCCTCTCTGTAAGGAGCTTTATTCTCTAATTGGGAGTCTAAGTCACAATGAAATAATTGAGAACACGATGAAGTGATGTGTTGCCTGGACTTTTAGCCAAATTATGACTTTCTCAGCAGCATTTTTGAAAAATTTAATCCTTTCTAGTATTTCGAGTTTTCTTTCATTATGTCTAACTTCTAGACCATGAGGGACGTTTTAAAATTTTAGTATTTTTTAGTTTAAAACACCGAGGGAACAAGGCAGTTTTAAAAATAGAGAAGCAATGAGGGAAAGTTGATGAGAGTTTAGAGAATTCTCAGATTTGGTTATGAATGGATATTTCTAAATCTCCGTTTACTCTACTAGTTTGTCCTTTATGTCTCTAGTATGAACTGAAACAGAGGATACAGGCTTAATTGAACTAGGAGGAATTTTGGGATTGTATGGAACTCTTCTAATTAACAGACAACAGAATGTATCATCAAACTAAATTCTG